GCTTTACTTGATAACGTTACCTGTATGTGTTTCGAAACGTAGTATGTAATAAACTAGAAGTAGTATATCTATATAACTTGTGTTTTTAATGTTACCTGTTTGTGTTTCTAAACGTAGTATGTAATAAACCTAGAAGTAGTATATCTATATAACTTGTGTTTTTAATGTTACCTATTTGTGTTTCTAAACGTAGTATGTAATAAACTAGAAGTAGTATATCTATATATCTTGTGTTTTTAATGTTACCTGTATGTGTTTCGAAACGTAGTATGTAATAAACTAGAAGTAGTATATCTATATATCTTGTGTTTTTAACGTAACCTGTATGTGTTTCTATACGTAGTATGTAATAAACTAGAAGTAGTATATCTATATAACTTGTGCTTTTAATGTTACCTGTTTGTGTTTCTAAACGTAGTATGTAATAAACTAGAAGTAGTATATCTATATATCTTGTGTTTTTAACGTTACCTGTATGTGTTTCTATACGTAGTATGTAATAAACTAGAAGTAGTATATCTATATAACTTGTGTTTTTAATGTTACCTGTATGTGTTTCTATATGTAGTATGTAATAAACCTAGAAGTAGTATATCTATATAACTTGTGTTTTTAATGTTACCTGTATGTGTTTCTAAACGTAGTATGTAATAAACTAGAAGTAGTATATCTATATAACTTGTGTTTTTAATGTTACCTGTATGTGTTTCTAAACGTAGTATGTAATAAACCTAGAAGTAGTATATCTATATAACTTATGTTTTTAATGTTACCTGTTTGTGTTTCTAAACGTAGTATGTAATAAACTAGAAGTAGTATATCTATATAACTTGTGTTTTTAATGTTACCTGTATGTGTTTCTAAACGTAGTATGTAATAAACTAGAAGTAGTATATCTATATAACTTGTGTTTTTAATGTTACCTGTATGTGTTTCTATACGTAGTATGTAATAAACTAGAAGTAGTATATCTATATAACTTGTGTTTTTAATGTTACCTGTTTGTGTTTCTAAACGTAGTATGTAATAAACTAGAAGTAGTATATCTATATATCTTAGTGTTTTATTGTAATCTTCCTACTTCTATATGTCTTATAAACAAACTATCTTAACAATTCAAAACAATCAATTTTGTCCTGATATACAAATTCTTCAGATATAAGAAGGAAATCAATCGGGACCAATAAAAAATTACACAGAATGTCGGATATCACAGTGTTTATTGTACATTATCTTGTAGAACAACTTCACTAACAAGAGATTGTGAATGAAAATATCACATGGGTTTATATCAGTCTACCATATCTTGTTATGTAATTTTTACAAGTGAAAGAATGAAATGAAACCTACCTCATGAGGTGAAATTGGTTTGGTGATGTTAAAACCTTCCTCTACATCAGGCATTCCAACATAAATATTCAGATATCTACAGAAATAAAACATCATAAATATTCAGATATCTACAGAAATAAAACATCATAAATATTCAGATATCTACAGAAATAAAACAAGATAAAGTCTGTAAAAAAGTTATGTTAAGTTCTTCACAGAACCCTAGGACAACATTGTGCAATTCGCACCTGCTTTTCTCCCATTTAGTCAATTATCTTTGATTTGAGATTAACAGATAGTAATAGAAGTTGGAAACATGAATTCTTCATAGAAAAATGTTCAAAGCCAGTTCTCAATTAATTGATAGGATAGGAGAAATGACCATTTTTGATTACGTTAAAAAACATTCTTAATGTTAGAAATAACTCAATCAACTTCCCTTAGAATAGGAGTCTTAATGGACAACCATCACGTTATATTATCCATAAAGACTAATATTCTATTTGTGTCAATCACTAAATGTCTATCAATCAGCCTAACTTACTTACTTGATGTCAGAATAAATTGAATCAACTTACTTTAAATAGAAATTAGGATCAGCATCACTAGTTATCTTCTCATTGGCTCTCATAATCTTCTTGATCTACAAATATTCAACAATATCATCCAATTTGTGACAGACACGATTATCTTATATCCATTGAAATGCATGGATAATCTGAATCAAAATGCACTTCATTTAATCAAATAGTTCCAACAAGACTCTTCTTTTAATGATGAAATTTTCTTATCTCAGGCTCTACAGAAGTGCCTGTACTCCAAAGCTTGCACCAAGAATGTCCCTTTATATTTGAATATTTGATTTCTCTATGGGTAAATTTTTAAAATTTTAATGATTGAACTAAGTGTATTTGGTAACTAAAAGTTTGATGGAAATATATATGGATCCCAGTGAAGAATAACAAAAAAATTGAGGACATAGAAAATATCAGCTCTGATGGTTGGGATGGTACAGGAGACTTTATTATTTTAAGTCACTTGCTATACAGAATTTTTCTGACATGGAGTCTGCTAGTTGATCACGTGACTTCATTCTAGTAGACCACACTTGGAATTCCGATTACCGCTTGAGATTATAAGGAAATTCAGCCGATAAAAAATGGTGACGTTTGGTAATCCAGCATTTTGTATTTGTCAAAGGATACATTAATATATGTTACCTTGCTTGAAACTACTGGATTCATTCTACTACTGATATTATAGAGATAACACATGTTTATCAAAACAAGCAAATGCGGAGATCATGCGAGGTAGCACATGTACATTATTAATCATTTCCGGAGATGCACGAAAAATAGGTTGGCACTAAATTAGGTTACTCGACTGTATATAGAAATCTTTAGCGTTTTGATTCAAAAATATAAAAAATACCATTAGCCAGAAAAATAGAGGAATTTTTAGAGGAAGACTGGGACCACTGAATATATAAATACTGGTATTTCACTCACCTCTACATTAATAAAATAGTTAAAAGAATCAATATGTTGCTTCACCAACCCTTTAACTTTTAAAAACGCTGGCAATAACTTCCATTTATCCTAAAGAGAAATTGACACAACATTAAACTATAGACAGAGTTAAGAAGTTACGCAGTGTTAAAGGAACTCTACTATAACATAAGCTTTATGTCATTTATATTAATTTTAGAGGGGATCAAGTAGTCAACTTGCCAAAAGTTTGTATACTTGACACGGAATGACATCATCACAGGCCGAAGTGTTCAAGTTTGATCAACACAAAAAAGCCTTTGCATTGCGTCAGTGCACTGAATTCAGGCTTGGAACAAGCACTGTCTGGGGTGCGGTATCAGAATATTGTTCAAGTCCAAACCTTATACCAAACTATAGGTGTAGAACAGAGCTCTATATAAGCATAAGCAAGTCATACTTTGAGATGTATTTTATCTTCAAAAGGAGGAGCCTTTATTGTATCCTCCCCCCCCCCCCCCCCTTAATTTCATCATGCACGAGTTAAAGTTGACCACAATTTTTCACCTCGACGGTTTTGACAGGGGCTGCCAACTTTTCCTTGTCCATCCTCATAATGTCTTCGATTGACTCCATTTTGCCCGTTTACTGCTTGCCTCAATCAAGCTTCTCAAATCCTAAACTTTATTTCAATGTATTTCTTCATGCAGTCAACCGAGTTTCATGGGCGCAGCCATCTTGGATTCTGTAGCGCCACCTGGCGAGAAAATTTCATAAGCGAGAATTCGTCTGCATAAAAATTCCAGTAGGTTAGTTGGTCAGGGTTAAAATTTTATTAACAATCAATTGAGGGTTTCAGAATTAACTTCAAGCTACTTTAGAAACAAGGGTTCTTCAGTGACATCCCTAAAATTCGCAGAAATCTCTCTGAAAAATATTATTATTTTGGAGGGATAACTCTGTGAAGATTACACGAGTTTCTAGATTATCCAGACTCAATTTGAATGTCCATTCAATAATTGATCAAGTGATAATGACAGTAAACTTTTTATTTCTGAGTATTTTTTCTGATTTTTAAACATCGCCAACATTTTTTAATAGCTCCATAAGTTTTCCGCCTCATGCTTTTTCTTCCTCATGCTTTTTCTTCTGTGCTTGAAATTTTTAGATGACAATTCATTTTTCACACACAAGTTACTTAGAAGGAAACTCAACAGTGACAGGCTGTATTTCTCCCAGCACACTGTTTCTAGGATACCTTAGCACTCAGATTGCTTTGAGAATACATGGCCAGATCGACACTATCAGGAGAGGGTTGAGCGCAAAATTCATCTTTCCCAATGTTTGTATAACTTCACACAAATTTTACTTCATGATTTTTTTTCTTTTCAACAAATTTATTTGATTGTGTTTTACCATTGGATTTATTTCAGATAGTGAAAATGGAGATAGTAAAGATGAGAGTGTTGGTTCAGGGATTTGGTAATAAATTCCGATATTGTCAGATCTTACAAAATAAGAATATCCATCAACATCAACATGCTCCGATTGACACGAGAACCAAGATGTCGGCATGGCAGATCCATGGTTACGGTGAGAACGAGAAGTTAACCCTGTCAACCTCCAGTCGTATACCAGCTATTAAACATCCTAAAGATATCCTAGTTGAAGTTCACGCTGCAAGTGTTAATCCAATTGATATCAGAATGAGAGGTGAGAGAATTTCTACTCTAGAATATTTTTATTTTTCACAGCTCGGTCAGAAGAAATACCAGAACACACAATATTTTCCACTTTTTTTTATAGGTAGAATAATGTTTGTTAAATATTAGATTTGAAGGAAATTTAAAAGCAGAGAGCAAAAAACACACAAGGAAATATATAATGGTATAACACACTTCTTTAATAATAAAGTATATAACATTTTAACATAATTTATACCTATTATGAATTTTTCATCTAATGACAACACGTGTAAATTGTGTTGAAATGTTATATACTTTGTTATTAAAGAAGTGTGTTATACTATAATATATTCCCTTGTGTGTTTTTTTGTTATATGTGTTAAGTATATAACTGATAACAATGTATTAAGATTTGAGTTTTATTTACAGGTGGTTATGGACATAGTTTGTTTAATATTTGGAGAAATCAGGGAGGAATGTTTAGTACCAGGTCGGAGTTTCCGTTAGTTCTAGGCAGAGATTTCTCTGGTGTTGTCATAGAAACAGGAAAAGATGTGAAGACATATAAAGCAGGAGATGAGGTTTGGGGAGTTGTTAATGCTCAGAAACAAGGCTCACATGCTGAATATACTGTTGTTTCTAGCTCTGAGGTAGGGTAGTTTTCATTATTATTCATCTTACAACGTTAATGAGATAGGCCTATATTTATCATAACCACTTCTAATGGTGACCTTGAATAAGTCATCTTTCCTCATCATTCTAGTGACCCTAGTTGTAGATGGGTCTGGATATTCAAGAAAGTAACTATATTAAGATTATTTTAAAATTCCAGTCATCTGATTAGTAGATCAATAAAACTGATTTTCAAATGAACTTTTAATCCAATCAGATTATTGTATTTCTTAAAATATGGATTTTTTTATCTTATTTTAGTTTTTCTGAGAATTAGGCCTCAGGAAAAATCAATGCTGAGATGGTACTGGTAGAAAGGATCCTTGTTAATAAAACTGATGTTTCTTTTCTTTCTTCTTCCAGGTTGCCCTGAAACCTAAAAATTTAACTCACGTAGAAGCTGCGTCTATACCGTATGTTGGTTTAACGAACTGGGCTGCTTTATATTCAGTAGGGGAGCTAACTCCATCTAATACTAGAGGACAGAGGTTTGTTTAATATTTATAACCTTCGCCCCCTCCACCCCTGGGAATACTACCACCCCCTGGGAGTACCAACAAACATCAGTGGGGACCTGAAAATCTTAGAATTAAAAATAACATTTTATATTGTCATAAACAGTTTTTGTTCATTTTGTTCAATTTTAGAATTTTGGTTATAGCTGGATCAGGAGGTATTGGAACTTTTGCAATTCAGGTAAATATTGAAATAGTCATTTGATATTTACAGTTTATATCAGGCTCTCAAAAACTTATATATATATATGTACAAATGATGTGAATTGAAGTTATATATCTTTATTGAATTAATGGACAAATTCAGGCTGTTTACTAAGTAGGAAATTACACCATAAAGCAACAAAAAGCATTGCCATTTATATATAGATTATGAAAATAGAAAACAGCTATGATGTTAATTCTGCTTTTGATAAAACAATCAAACTTCAAAGTGCCTTCTGTTGAATAGTAACTTGTTACCTTTCAAACCCCCGAACCTCTACAATTAATTTTTGTTTCTAATTTAGTTAATAAAAGCGTGGGGAGGTGATGTAACAACAACGTGTAGTTCTGAATCTGTAGAAATAGTTCGAGATTTGGGAGCTGATGTAGTTATCGATTATAAAACACAAGATGTTCAATATGAACTACGACAGCAAGATAGGTAGCCATTTTATTGATTATAAAAACTAGCATATAACTTGACCAGTTACTTTAAAGGGATTGTAAAGATGTTTTTCATATAACACTTAGTTTTAGTGGAATTGCAGGAACCATAGACATCTGATTGAAAATAAGAATGGTGCAAATTGATGCTATCAGTGTCCACGATATGCATACAAAATATAGAAAAACATCTTTACAATCTTTTTAAGAGGGGCTGCTCAATTGATGAGTTCAACAGAAAGATTAATAAAACAAGTTGGAAGAGAGTTCAGAATGAGTACGATGTGGGCCAAAACAATAGCAGATACTGACAGCAGAGATTCAGAAATTCAAATCCAAGTTCTATATTGTCGAGTGGTAGAATAGTATTACTTCTTTACCACAGCCAAAACTTTAACATATTACTACCATGTTTCACTTTAGCAGTTGGACCATGAAGACAAGAGAACCACAGAACCACAGTGACAGGTTGTGGTGGACAATGGTAAAATGAAGAATTTTTGTCTTTTCAATCTATTTTGTTTTTCAGGTTTGATTTAATTCTGGATCCTCTAGTTAGTAAGAAGAGAGTAGAGTATATAAATTATTTAAAACAATGGCGTAACAGTAAACTAGTGACTATAGCTCCACCGTTTCTAAGGAATATAGATACCTACGGTGTTGTACCAGGGGTTGTGAAATCAGTCGGTGATTTAAGTTGTGATGTCATAAAGGTTTGTTTCATATTTTAATACACCAGCCTTTCTTGATCGGTCACTCATTAGAATTCTGCTGGTAATTCTCTTCTAATTTAGCTAATTATGAATTAATGATAGACATGTGAGACAAACTGGTATTTTTCCAAGTCATTAGAACACCTCTACTTTCTATTCATATTAGCATTTTCATTTTCATAAATGAAAATAAGTGAACACATCTTTAAAACAAAACCTAAAACATCATGTTGTTACTGGAGAGTTGCATGCTATATATAATCATCTTGTGGACGTATATTGTTATCAGCTTGTCTTTTTGTGTGTTCACATTTTCAAACTGAACATTATTGTGTATAAAATAAAATAGAAAGTTTATCAAAATCTGTTAATCATCCATCTTCACAAGGTCTTAGGCACAACACTGACAGGAATGCAGATCTTAAAACAGCCATATTGTTTTCAGTCTTTCTGTCGGAACTCTGAATGACTGTATTCACTATCATACAATCCAATCAAATCACTGCATTCTATGATGGGTATTGCAGTCAGGGTATAAGACTAAGTTTGTAATAGCTTGACATTGTGAAGATGTGATACAAGAAAGGTGGCTATTGTGGTCAAGGTATAAGACAACGTTTGTAATAAATAAAGTATATTCAGGTGGTAAAAATCAGTAACTCTGTCAATATGTCAAATTTTTGAAAGTAGGAAAGTGAAGACCTTATACAACTTTTGATTTTTAATTATGATTCTTCTGAATAATGTGAACAACAAAAATATTTCAGGGAGCTAAAGATGGATGCAGTGTAAGATGGGCTTTTTTCACTCCATCACAAAAAGGGCTGAGAGAAATTTCTAAACTTGTAGAAATGGAAAAGGTAACTATATATTTATTTGAAACGTTTAGAAAATTGTCAAGTTAGTGGGAAATGTTGAAATCCTACCCACATGCAGAATATTTATTATTCAGAGAAAATCTGTTGGTTTTTAACCTTGTAATATTCTCGTGGATGACATCCCCATCTCTAAAAGAGCTACCCTTTTGCCCTCTAACAAACCCTAGAAATAACAGTTTATGGAAGAATGGCTCTGTTTTGATCACTAGCATTTATGTACAGTTCCCCCTCACCTGGTATGTGGTTTTGTTCTCTTTTTATTTTGTATTTTTTGGGGTAGATCACTACACCTCAAGCATCCCTCAAAGTAGGAGGGTCACCGAGGGGCGACCTGTACCCCTTCAGAAATTCCTCTGGTAGTTTACCAGGAGCCTAGGATCCCCTAGTCTCATTATTTTCCTTACTCATTAGTTTAAGGCATATTGAGTAACAGTCAGTGAGCGGTCCAGTTTAGACATAATAATTTTTCTGAATGGTGTAAAAATTCTGTAATTTTATTTTTTGATAAATTTAGAATTAATATTTTAGTATTTATTTTATGAAATATCAAATGTATGATGTGTTTGTCAAATTGTGGTCAAATAATTTATGGAAATATAAATTTATACAAAGAGTATTATTGATTTTGTGATCAGTAGGCTTTTATCAAAGGGAGATAATTTGAAATTTTTAATAGAAACTCTATTACAAACAATACTACTCATTGATCCGTAACAGAAGCATTATCATGTAATATATCAATATAACCCAACAGACTGAAAACAGTCATAGAAATCACTGAGATATTGTGGATGAAAAATGAAAACCACTGAATGTTTTGTTTTATTAATTGGTGACACAGCCAATCAACCAAAACTGCAATACTGATGTTAAATATTATTAAAAATTTACTATTTCTCTACCTCATATATATCAAATACTATTAGTACAATACTATTATATGTTTCAGATTCGTCCAGTGGTAGAAAAAGTTTACGATTTTGAAGATTTGCTGTCTGCGTATGAGAAATTAGAGGCAGGACATTCTCGTGGTAAAACAGTCATACAGATCAAGTGAAGTTGATCCACATCCACTGCCAGTGCTTTTGAGAGTTAGCTCAATCACATTTGTATATAAACATACTATCAGAAACTGAAACATGTTGTCACTCAGAGTTTCACACTGTGTTCTTCAGACAACTGATCTGTTTCAGTCTGTGTCTCTACCAATGTTTGTCAAGTAGAGATCAATTGAAGAGCGATATAGAAATATAGAAACAGTTTCTTGTTGTATAATAGGGAGTTAATAACATGAACTGAAGTAGTATAAGGTTCTATAAGAGAAACTCTCTTACAGAAGCACTGGCCTAGGTCACAAGTAGCGACTGTGGATTTCAGCATTGGAATACACCAATTTGATAGAAAATTACCTACTTCTGGAGAGATTTACAAGATAAAAAAATAAGTCCCGTCTGTCTCAAAATTAACTCCTGTGGGGTCAGAACCATTCTGGGATTGAAATCAAATGACACCCAGGGTAAAGGTCAGTAAAAAACCAAGTTAGATGCCCAATATTTCTGAATTTACCTCTAGGGAACTAGGATAAATATAATTTATCATAGAAACTGGTAAGAATGGACTAGTAAAAAACAAGTTATTTATTTTGTATATATTTTAATTATGATATATTTACACTATGAATGTATTAGTAAAGTCGAGCTATGGTCTTTATACTCCACTGGTCTGATTTAAAATATTCACACGACCTGTCCAGTTAGAATAAATAGTAATAGAAACTATACAAATCTTACTTATTACTAATTCAATTGTGTTTGGATTCAAACCTAAATACAAGGAGGTGCATTATATTTGAAGGTAGTTTAGGTAGTAAATAGCACAATATAAGAGGGGGTAAAAAAGCATCATTTGCTTTATTAAAACACAGTTTTTAATCATTGTTAAAATTAACAAAACATTACTATGCTAACCAGTACTTGTAAATGAATAGTCCTTGGTTCAGACCTAGGCCAGTGCTTTCTAATTCTATGAGTTAAATTCTCGTTTCACCTTATCTCTAGCCTAGCACTTATTCTACCTCCAATAATATAAACTGTTTGTGTTTATATTTTAAATCACATCTGAATGTACATGAATAACTTCACTCTACTATAAATATTACTAGAATGAAAATAAAATGTTTTTGTTATAAAATGACTGATTTTACAAAATTAAAAACAATCCAGGTATAGCAGTAAATTTAATAAAATCCCTTACATGATTGGCACGACTACAGGCACCTTATTCTCCAGTACCTAATTCAGATAAAATCAGATTTTAAGAAATACATTAATCTGATTGGATAATAAAACTAAATTATAGTGATTAACCAATCACATGACTTTTTTAAATAAATTTATATTTTATCAAAGTTAAGTTGTCGAGAATATGGCCCGGGTTTAGTGAAAATATTTTAAATGATATGATTTAAATAACCATTGCCTTTATTTCTAAGAGATGACTCTCAAAAGCACTGGCTGTGGGGCGTTAAGGAGAAACAAACCCGTGGCACCTGACAGCAGACAAAAGTGCAAAGTGCTTGGAAATGAAAAGGATGTTCTACTATTCTACTAGATATGTGTATATGAAATGGAGTATTATATCTTAATTGAAATCTACTCTATGAAAAATTTGAAAAAAGTTGACTGAAAACAAAGAAACGTATGGGCTCATGATGCCTGATGAAAACAATGAGTTCTTGAAATTAAAAATGATTTTATAATAATACAGTTATTTTGTGACAATTTTTACAACAAATGAAATGACTATATGATTATTGACAGATGATTGCAATAATTGCGTAGTTCACCACCAGAACCTTATTCTCGAAAACTCAGAGAGATTGCAAACTGTTTACTCAACTTATTATGTGTATCAATGACATTTTAGAATTCTAGTCATCTGATTGGTCAATCACTAAAATCATCTTTTATCCAATCAGCTTACTGTATTTTTTTGAATTTTATATAACTAAAGTTTTTGAGAATAAGGCCCCAGTTTCTCAAACTGAGAAGAATTCAGGTCCATCTGAACCAGAGACTAAAATCTAATAAATACTAAAAACTACTTCATTAAAATACAAAACAATTAACAATAATTATTTACATATAAACAGTCACTATGGTGATGGATGATTGTGTTGCTATAGTGATGTTGTTACTATGGGGATGGTTGTTATGACGATTGTGATGAGTGCTATGAAGCTTGTTACTGTGGTGATGGTTGCTACATGTAAACATTAACAATGGTGATGGTTGCTATGATGATTTTGTTACTATGGTGATGAATGATATTAAAAATGCCCTACTTAAAAAGTAAAAATTCTACAAAGCAATAAAAATAGATCTATATAAATACATGATAATGAAATTTTACTAACACTATTTTCAAAAAGGCCTTAATTCTGTTAGTTTAATTTTATAACCACAAATTTTATTTGCAGTTCAAGGACTTTTTGTCATAAAACAATCTTACTAGAGAGAGTAAACTTTACTTTCTCATGGCATTATCAAATAGTCAAATAGCCATTTGTCAAAAATATTTAATTCATATGAACACATTCTATTTTTCTTTTATTTTAGTGAATTTTTCTCACGAATCTTACTATTTTTATAAACATTACCTGAATGTACTAAAAATTAAAATAATAGAAGAAATTTTATTGACATGAGTGAAATCTATAAATAATTTATTGCTATGACATGTAGAGAGGTAACTACTGGATTTCACAATGTCTTTGATTCTAAGCTAATCTACAATTTCAATTTTTTTTACAAAAATATTATCTTTAACACAAATTACTAACAACACCTAAGAAGAAGAATTAAAAAATCTGTGAGAGTTTATATTTGATAATCCATACAATAACTTCAAGATTTAGGCACATCCACATCGATTTCCACCATTCTAATGTTCCATCAGATGTCTTTGATTCTTGCAAATTCCACAAGAAACTAAATGAAATCACTATCCCAAAGGTGACTATAATTCATTAGCTTCTTGTGATAGAGACGTCATAATATCTCTTTCTATAATTACAGGAACATCTGATTGTAAATTGTTATGATGTAAATTGTTATGATGTAAATTGATGCTATCAGTATCCTTGATACACATAAAAAGTTTAGAAAACCTCGATACAATACCTTAAGTATTTGATAAATACAACTATTATAGACACTAAAGATATCTAGTATGTATGATATATAAAACAAACAGTAAAAACAATGGGAGGGAAAGTAGAAAACATGATTCACTATTTACATACTTACATACAATACATATAGCTAAAACTACAAACTTTACAATTATTATAAATCTTGGTATGTGTACACAAACATTAATATATTTATTACACACCATTCTGATCTTATACTCTCTGTATGGGTACATGAACACTAATATATTTATTTTCAAACCAGTCTGATTTTCTACTCTCTGTCTCTGTGGAAAGAACACTTTTTATTTCTATTCAATCTATTCATTATTATTTTCGCTACTCAGTAAGTTATAATGTTCAAACTCTGTTGGAATTTATTTCTTAATTTGCATCGTTTTGTATAAAAGATACCTGACACCATAACGATCACCAATTGTGTATGGTTGCATTAGAAAACGGTCTTATGTTTCGAATGAAACATCTATCACCAACTGGTGATCACTATGGTGATAAGATGAGGTAGGTATACAGTTATTAAGAAACATCTGCCTCTATTTCAGCCTCTGAGAGCTAATCAGTAATCTAATACTATGTTAGAAAAACTCTTAAAAAAGGGCCTAGTTTTTCTGACTCTACTAGAAAAAGTAGCTGATAACTGTCAACATATCTATCAGAGGCTGGAATAGAGGCAGATGTTTCAGTCTAGTATACAGTGTGGAGTTATCAATAGAGTAGAAAATAGACCAAGCAAATCTTGTCCTGTTACAAGACATATTACTCGTTTATTTACTTCTACTACGGTAATGAAAATTATACATTGTATACTAAACTTGTTAACATACTTCATTTATTTACATCTTTACTCAGTTTAAAATCTACCTACCTATTCCTAACATACATTGGTCAATATTATAAAAACATTAACATCTTTTAACAACAATACACATTAAACATATAGTTATCATCATAATGAAAACTAAAACTATCTGAAGGATATGGTAGTTAGAGTGGAGATTAATTCAAATTATGAGGCAGGGAGGCTGTTATAACTCGATATGAAAAATTACTTGATTTAAGGTAAATTTTCCTCAAGTGATAATTCATTTTTGTTAAAAATTTCAAAGATGTACTGGCCTAAGATATAGTACAGACTAAAATTCAGATGAATTATTTAACAAGCAATATGAAAAAAAACCTACTTTTAACATGCAATAATTGTTAATTAACAAATAATCTAATCTATAATCTCTGAACACTTATTGTGTGGTACACATTTCATTGCCTATTTCATATTGAAAGGTGGGTATTCTAGATCTTGAGCCAAACATGACTGGCAATTACACTACAGTTACAGTTGTCCTGGCAAGGGTTTGTTATCCGAAACATATGTCGGCAATATTAGAAGAGATCTCATTAATTAGATACAAGGTTTAGAATCTTAGAATTAACCCAAATCTTTCCAAGTTCTAGTTGACTAACCACTGTAGCATAACACACTTCATTAGAGTGGTTTTTCTAAGATTTTTCAAACCACTTTGTTTTTCTTTAGTAATAAATCTTAAATCTTAAAATTCTTAATCCTAAATCTAAACTCAACTCTAAGACTTAAGTTGAATGATTTTTTTTGTACATTTTAGACAACTTTTTCTCAGTGGATGGATGCTGCCATTTTTTTAGTAACAATCCATTAATATTTACAATTTTTGAATAAAATTTGAACTTTATAAATAGAAGTAAACAATGCATATAAAATTCTAAAAATTTGTGGCAGCCTTTTTGATCAAGATTCCTAGCTTGAAACGAGCCTCATAATTCCAGCGTGTTTGGCGCTGGAGACGGCACTGCAGAGCTTGTACCCTTTTTATCTTTTTGTTTAGAGAGTGTGGCTACTTGTCGCATCAATTCCTTGTTTTTAGCCTGAAGAGTATCTATAGTGGCGCTCGTGGAGAAATTCAAACTCTGTAATTTATTCCTAAGATCTTTCTCTAGTTCATATTCTGAGACTTTTAACTCACTGATCTGAAACGACAAGAAATAATTTTAAATATAACAAAACAATATTTCTTTATGAACAAAACATGTGATTATCAAATAAACTTGGTCAGTGCAGAAGAAAAAAGTTTTAATTCAATCTGCCGTCTGTTTGAGAAGTTTCAAATATCAACAAATTCTAGTTATTTGTCCTCTTGATTCTCCTCTTTAACAAATATCAAGTTTCCTCATTCATCTATAATATTGAAAGTTCCAAAACTAGTTGCCCTAATAAGGATCTTGAATGTGTCTGCACCATTGAACGAACTCAAGGCTGTTTGAGACATAAAGATTGATATCTGAATCTATAATATGCACAATCTGGAATTCATTGGCCCATCCAAACAACTACACAATGTTTCAATGTCATCCTGAATTCTGATGTAAAAATTGTCATGTTAAAATCACAGTATAGTTTATTAAACAATCATCAAACCCACCTTCTTATCCTTCTCTTTCAGTAATAAATCTTTAGTTTGTAGTTGACGTTTCAGGTTCTCTATTTGGTCTCGGAGTTGAGTTATAACTATAACATGATCTGAACTAACTCCACTGTCTAGTTTACTGGTGTCTGTAAAACTACTGTTAGTTGTGCTATAAACATGATATATCATTATAAAAATTATTGTTAGTAGAGATACAATTCTTTTAAAGATGGTCATATTTCAGTCAATTTTGAACATAATATTTAATACTGTAATTCCAAAAAGAGAACTTAGATATGTTTCAGGTTCTAATATCAAAGACAATCTATTGTCTGAGCAAATTAAGAAGTGTTTTGAATTTTTTCGATATTTTTCAAAATTCAAAAAATTTATCAACTTGCATAGACAATAGTGCCTTCTGTTGAATAATCTAAACACAGTCAGTTTGAGAACAGAAAGTTGAGCCCTCAGAGCATTACAAGTTGTTGTCAGTGGGTTACCTGAACAAATGGTGGTTATGGGTTCTAATCACGGGAACAGAGTGAAAGTGATATTTATTTCTTTATTACACTGGCATCGTCAAGGTAAAAACTTGCCGACTGACAACTGTTCAGAGATTACAAACTTACATTTTAGGAGTAGCAACTACGCCATTAGAAGAGTTCTTCTCTATTCTTGGTTTCTTACTCTGAGGTGATTCTTCATCTCTATAAATATTAAGCAGAAGTTAATAATATAAATTTGGAGAGGGGTTATATTGGCACATGCCTTCAGTGAATATTCTATAACTTCTGCAAGATCTTTTATAGGAATTCTACAAACTTTGTTATAAATAGAAATTTTTTTTTGACTATTAGGCAAAATATTAATATCTCCATTTTGATCTTTTCTCAGAGAAAGTACATCTAAAAATTCCAAACAATCCAAGCAGAATAAGTAATATCATAAAGTGCCACAAATTTTATTTGGAATGTAACAAAACCTTGATATATAGAAGCACCTGCAGAAACTTGAAATATTAACAATAAAGCCTACTTACACAATAGATCTGTTTTTTGATTTATTTGGTTTTTCTTTTGTTTTTTCCAATAAATTAGCTGCCTTTTCTGAGAGACTTTCTCGACTATCTCTGCTGCCCACTGGACTAGATTGTTTTGTTTTTTCAACTTGAGATTTCTTCGCTGATTTTCCAACTCCACTAAATTTCTGTAAACTGTCAACATCAGCACTTCGTCTTTTAACGTTTTCATTTTTACTCGGTCCAAATATTTTATCTAATTGATCATCGGAGACGTTTTTAACACCTGATGATGATTTACTGCTTGATTTTTTAGAATGAGATGTTCCTAGACTTTTGCGAGTATCGTCGCGTTGTTTACGTGTTTTAGCTACGACTCGTCTATAAGCTAATGTACACAACCAACACAGCAGTTTACCATCGTCCTAGATAATAAAAATAATAATTACAATTTTATATTAATAAATCTAGCTTTCTAATTGCTATCAGATGAAAAAAATGCTGAAAATATTCAAAGTTTATATTAGGATCCAAGGCAGTTTCAGATTATTAAAGCAAAACGAAAAGGACAGCCTGTAAGCTTTCACTCCACAGTGCAGTTCCTAGCCTTGCCACCAGCCTTGCCACTAGCCTTTCCACTAGCCTTGCCCCTAGCCTCACCCCTAGCCTTTCCCCTAGCTTTGGTGATGTTGTACCTACCTTTTTCTGATCTCCTCTATCAAAAGCACATTTTTGTTTACATTGCTCACAAGTTTTTGGAGGTCCCCATTTTCTCTCTGAGTTAGCACACCTCTGACAACGTCCTCCGATAAACGCTGCTAAAATACTACAATATTCACAAGCTGTCGGCTGAAATAACAGAAAAATTATTTGAAGAAATCGTAAAAATAAACATTCCATACATTAAGAACCAACAGTTTTATAGACTTCTATTTATTATTTAAACACAACGTTTCATTACACATACAGGTAACCTTTTCAACTGATGATTTACCATACAAATATATACTCCTTATATGACTTGGAAAATTCACTTGAGAACATTACCTGTATGTGTAATGAAATGTGGTGTTAAAATAATAAATAATAAAAATTTATATCCATAAAACTGTGCTGTAGTTCTGCTAAATGTCTTACAAGGATAATATTTCAGACCTAAAACTCCATTTCATTCAGTTTTCCCAAAAAACAGATTGATGTACAGGGTCAAAGATAATATAAAAGACCTAAAACATGAAAGTATTTAAAAATATTGAAAGTTTAAATGTAAGAATATCAAACTAACATACACTCTCAGAGTTTCTTAAGTTTCGGAGAACCAATAACCCTAGAAACAAACTTTCATTTAAATAATGTATGATCTGTAAATAGCTAGAAGATTGCTAGAGGATTGTTGGAAGATTGCTAGAGGATTGTTGGAAGATTGCTAGAGGATTGTTGGAAGATTGCTAGAGGATTGTTGGAAGATTGCTAGAGGATTGTTGGAAGATTGCTAGAAGATTGCTTGAAGATGAAAATGTAAATGTTAATATAATATTATTACCTTGCCATAATTCCTGACGTTTTCAGCACATTTTTTACAAATACTGCTTGTTCCTCGACTAAAATAAACACAGAATTAATCAGAAACATAGAAATTACACACATCACATTCTACCATCACAAAAATTAATTCTTGAATTCACAGAGTTTCAACTCCATAGAAACAGAATAAGAATAATAAACTGTAATGTTTAGTCATGAGTTGGGTTCACCGTAAGTTTTTTTTGTATTACACTTGTATAAATTTCAAGTTTATGACGGCCTCATCCAAATCAAAATTTGTGTTCAATAGTGATGAGAACATAGTCTCATGAAAGCACTGGCCTAGGTCACAAAGTAAAGATTTATGATCAAACAAGGTGCAAGTTAAAGGTTAAGATAATTAGATATGTTAACTAAGGATGTCTCTGTAATACTATCTGTGGTAGTATCAAAGGTTAAGATAATTAGATATGTTAACTAAGGTTGTCTCTGTAATACTATCTGTGGTAGTATCAAAGGTTAAGATAATTAGATATGTTAACTAAGGTTGTCTCTGTAATACTATCTGTGGTAGTATCAAAGGTTAAGATAATTAGATATGTTAACTAAGGATGTCTCTGTAATACTATCTGTGGTAGTATCAAAGGTTAAGATAATTAGATATGTTAACTAAGGTTGTCTCTGTAATACTATCTGTGGTAGTATCAAAGGTTAAGATAATTAGATATGTTAACTAAGGTTGTCTCTGTAATACTATCTGTGGTAGTATCAAAGGTTAAGATAATTAGATATGTTAACTAAGGATGTCTCTGTAATACTATCTGTGGTAGTATCAAAGGTTAAGATAATTAGATATGTTAACTAAGGTTGTCTCTGTAATACTATCTGTGGTAGCATCATTTCTTTAGATGTCTTAGACTAAAAGCAACTGATAAAAGACTCAATAGAAATATACCAGTACCTGTTTTGTTGAAACTCTTCTCGACAATACGTACATTTTACAACTGGAAATTTACTTCGACAATCCTACAACAACAGAAAATACAGTCATAATAAAAAATATAATTCTGTTGGAGAGAAAAAATACAGGCCTAACTAGGGTTGGGTAAAATAATCCATTGTCTAGCAAGGAATTTATAGTTCTAAAATGAAATAAAATATGCAATTAAATCCAATTCTCTTTCTTTACATTTTACATACTGGTACTCAAAGCTTTCATATATATAGGGGGGGGGGGGGGAGACCACTATGGGAGGAACTTGTAAAAGGGGGAGCCACTGTAAGCCAATATGACACATGGAATTAAATATTTGGACATATTTTTTACATTTAGTATTTAGAAGATTTCTCAGTTGACAGTTAACATGTCTCAATAATTGATTTCAATTTGGTACCCAGCTCTATCCACAGTCCTTTTACAATTTCCCTTAAAAGAAGCTTTTTAACTAATGAATGTATAATGTCTGCAGACTGCACTTTTTATAATAAGCCAAGCCTAGTCTAGGCCAGACGAGATGAAAAATATTTTCATATTTGACAAAAAACAGGGAATAGTGGTGCAAAATCTTAATATTTCTAAAGTATGTTTCAATTTTCAAACAAAAAGGGACCATCCCAAATCTGATCTATAAATTCAAAGGACAGGTGTTAGGTTACAATTTAAATCTTAATCAGGAATCTGACTTTGTCAAAATTTTGATATTTTAGAAAAATAATTTTTCTCACTTTACACAACTGTTCTCCTCGGGAAAGCTCATCAAATGGGTGCCTTGTGTGACATTTAGTACAAGAAAACAAGGCCGCCATTATTTTAATGGCTAAATTCGCTGCATAGAAAGTTTTTGATTAAAATTTAAAATTTGTGAAAATTTCTTTCAATAAAAACAACCGGAAGTTTCCAACTTTTCCGGAAATGGTGTTGCGCATGTCGGTCACTAGAATAATTTTTGATATTTTTGACCAATATATTTTTATCTTGTAATTTAATTCGACATTCATCTTTCAATTCTTAAAGAATTTAGTCAAAAATTATTTTGATAGGAGAAATTTGAACATTTTTTACTGAACTAAAAATTTGGTATTTTTAGATTGGCCAATCAACGAAGCCTATAGTTTACGGAAAAATGCGAAAGTATCCGATGTCTTTTCGGCGGTCTGTTTACGTTTGTCAAAAGTGGTTGAAAAGAAAATAAAGAAAACTGAACGAGAAATCGTTGCCCTTTCCTTTGAAAAATGGATTTTGGCCAATATGTAAGTATGCAGCCACTATCTGAAATGTTCAATGTTCGAAATACATTTGTAAAACTGCAATCGCATTACAAGATTTCACTGAAAATGTTGCCAGAATTTGAATTGTTTTTACAAGTTTGTTCTTGTTGTCTTTCTTTTGACATGCAAATTGAAAGTAGAGTTTCAGCAATTCGCTTATATGTTCATCTACAGATTCTTAATTGATGATTTTAAAATTTAATCTAATAATTGATTGTCGTCTGCTGGATAAGTAAATCAGAAGGTATGGCCTTTGGAATTTTAATCTCGGTGGGCAGAGAACATTAATTTGTTGACTGTTGACTGTTGTTAGTAGGAAAAGTTTACTTTTGGTATGAAACTACACAAAATTGCAGCAGTATACAAGAAATGGTCTAGATAGAGATTCAAAACTAGGAAGGGACCAAATATTCAGGCACAAGACATTTTCATTTATACAGACTACTGTACTATATTGTATTAAGTGTTAATGAATATCATAGAAGAAGTTTTGCAAACAATTCATGATAGATTTATTTGTTTTAATTCAAAACTTTTATTTTTCTGATTAATGAGGTTAACAGGTGGAAGTAAAAGTTTCTTATTTTTATTTCTGACTGGTCATGGGCAATGATTGAGTTAAGATCATTGCTTTAATCTTTGATCTGTAAGCTTATTAATAGAACCCTAGAGGATTACAATCTCCTAGCCCTGCCCTTATCATATTCTCTCTCTAATTTAAAATAGACCCTGCCTGTCCCAAGTGGATTATAGTCTCGTCCAGCCCTTATCTCTCTACCTAATTTAAATCTTATTATCTGTCCTACAAGTTACAACAGGTTTCAATCTGTTCTTACTTTCATTCAGTTATATTTGCTTTCTGGACATTTTAGATGATTGCTTTTTAGATGTACAGAGCTTGTTGAAGTGGTTTTAAAAGAACATTGTTTGGCTTATTGTTGTTATGGATTCTGATGAAGTAAGTTTCAGTGATGGATTTCTTCTTGGGAACGTCAATTGATTTTTGAATATTTTGTATACCGGTACTATATAGTATATTATTTTGACTTAGTTCTCTAAGATTACATTTTATTTTTTTTAAGATAAAAATTACAATTAGCTTATAGTTGTATCTGCCAAATATAAAATTGTGAAATATTTATTGTGCATTCAGATTTTTTCTATGTCAATAACTTGGTAAAATGATGGTAAAATGAAAGTCAAATTTTTGATTTAAAGAGGTGATGAATTTTAGTCAACCTTGTGAATGACAAAATTTGAGAGCAACTCTCTGGATTATCAACATTGTTCTAGCCACTGCAACAACAGAATCCTATCTGTTGGTTCATCTGAGAGAACTGAATGAAAAATATCAGTTGCTCTAGTAAATATATTGGATCCTTTTCCTCAACCTGAGACATCAGGATCAGTCAGTTGATTATAGTTTGTTAGTAGATGGTTGATTTCACTTATGTTGACTTTTACTGCTTAGAACAAGTCATTTTGGATAGCTATTTGACCCAAGCCCACCTTTAATATAATATTAATCCACTGACAAGAATTGTTTTGTATTATTCTTATCATGAAAGAATTTAATCATATCCTGAACCCAACTCTGTTTCTTTAATAAACTAAATAAGTTGTAGTACATGGTAGTATTTGATTGTCACAATTCAAGTGTGTATCAAGTAGTATTGAATGATAGTCTATTGTATTGGAACAATACCTGATACTAATCAAACTCACCCCTTTATTTAATATCTATATCACCTACTTGAGGACTATGTTTATATTGATTGGTTGTAAGTAGGTTACAGGGAAGCCTTCATTCATTCAAAAAATAAAAAAAAAAAAGATTTTTTAAAAAAAATATATCTCTAGACAAAAATTGATTATTGTCTGAGCGCAGTATAAAGTTTTAAAATAGTTTCCATTGTTTTATAAGAATTGGAATTAGTAGTCTCAAAATAGTACTGTTTAGTACTGTTAGTCTTAAAATGAAATGAGAAATTAACTCCTAGAAAGCACGGGCCTAGGTCCCAAAGCAAGGACTATTCAATTACAAGTGCTGGTTAGCTTGGTAATTTTTCAAGATCTTAGAATGTCTATGTGTTGAAGATATAACAGATTAAGTAATTTATTGTTGATTGATATTATTTGTGAATCGTTTGTCTAATTGTATAACAGATGGGGTTTGTTTAAAAAATATCTTTGATTGATTTTGAGGTTATATGAGGTGAATTGAAGTATATATTGTAATAATAAGGAGATTAGGATTAACAGGTTAATCCATGTGAAGTAGATTATATTTGATATACCCCAATCAGTAATCTAATCATATCAACACTATATATAACATGCACCTTGTTTTATCATAAATTTTTACTTAGTGACCAAGGCCAATGCTTTCATGAGACTATGTTCTCATCGCCATCTAATATATAACACATTGTTACGATAGCACAGACAAAATTCTTCTCCAACACCTGTTGGCCACACCCGTGAGACCCCAGTCCCACACCCCCAGGGGGTGAAAACACCCAAGGTTGGGAACTGGGGGCTTAGATTCTGATCAGAATTGTATAGAACACATCTTTGGAATTATAATAACAGACACAATTATATAGATATTGATATAAGGTTTGGATAAAGTTGGATTATTGTCAGCTCAGACAGTAGTCCTGAGAAATATCCCTCATTGCACACTGCATGAGGATGTCAGTCATCACTAGCCTAGTCCAAGTTGATGTATATAATCAAGTATGCTATATGAGTATTGACAATGTTTATATAAAGTATTAAAACTTGACTGTAAAGTTGTTTATTTTAAACTTGATTTAGTTGTTAGGGTCAATGTTTGTCTAAACCCTTCATTTCTATAATAGACCCTATAGAATTCAACAGTCATCAGTTAGACTAACTCAGTAAGGTTTCAGGTTGAAGGTGATTCGAACTAGCATCATTAGAGTTTTTATATTCATGATAGTAGTGTGTAGTGTAGGTATATTTCTATTCTGGATTGTTGATAACTTAAGATATTCATTTTATACTGTATTTTCTTTGTGCTAAGACAATCTCTGACTGACTATCTGGATATTCTTGAGATAGTACTATATTAAAGGAATTGTAAAGATGTTTTCTGTAGTTTTTATATATATATATTACAACAAACACCCTGTTAGTTTGTACAACTAACCATACATGCATGACAGCATCAAAAAAATATTCAGTATTCACTTTTTCAGTCCACTAAGTAAAAATAAAAGTAGAACAGGCTATAACATGTGGAGTTAAGAGAAGAATAAATAAAATAAGAAAGATAACAGAATATTGAAGTGATCGGCTGGGGTTTTCTAGGTGTTGTATATGTAATAGTGTCATTTAAAGCTTCTATTTGGTTGAAATACTATTTGTGATAATGCAGCAGGAATCTGAAATTACAAACATCACCAAGTTAAGATAGGAATTGTGTAGATAGAGATCTTCCCAGATAGAATCAAACCCTCTATTCTACTTTCACTTTTATTATAATGAGGCAAACAATCGCATATATAATACAGTGCGTCTTCAGGTAGGGATAAAGACTTTGGAAATGTGTGATGTTTCTCCCACCACCTCCACCTCCTATTGTGATAAGAAATAATTAAGTCAGCTCAGATTGAGCTTTTTACAATGTAAAACTTTATTAGAATATATGTAAGATATAAGTATTGTTAAGTATGTGATATATAGATAAGGAGATAATTTATAGACCTATATACTAGTATTTCTTTATAAACTATCCCTCCATATCCCTAGTTATCAGCACAATTTATTAGAATATTTACTTTAATATTATTATATGAGTTGAGTTTTGAGAGGTCTAATATTCAATGACACATTATTTATATTTTTCATAAAGATGTTGTTAATAAGCTTATAAACTTACTTGAAAATATTTGTCAAGTATGCTACCAGGTATTTACATCTGTGTATCTATTTAATTTGGTGTTTAATACTTACATTAAATGTGAAAGAAAAAAACCCAAAGTGACAGACTCAACAAACCCAGTCGAATTACTGTATTCCTATTAATATATTGTAGGTTGGTGCAAATGATAGTTTGATGAGAACACCAGCCAAACACCAGAGCAATAACACCCAATATCAGGGCAATAACACCCAATATCAGGGCAATATGAACACTGTACAGCAGTCTCACAGCAATCAGCCATCATTATCACAGGCAGACAGTCAGCGAGAGACAGGAGGATTTCAAACTACAACTAGTGTGGGATATAGACCTTCAATTACAGCTACGACAAATAGTACTGTGTTTCAACCTCACGTTAGTGTTACCACTGGTTCGAACACTGGTTTTCAAACACTATCTAGTGCCACTAGTGCTGGATTTATACCCCAAATCAGTGGATATCAACCCCCAGTTAGTGTTGGATATAAGCCTACCGTTAGTGGTGGACCTAAAACATCTATAAATAACTATATCTCAAGTGATTATCAATCTTCAACCGTCAGTGGTGGATACAAACCTACAGTTAATAATGGATATCAACTAGGTACCCAGACTAATATAGACTTGCATTCTATAAAGAATGGATTCCAACCTACAAACAATGTAGGGTTCAATACCTCTGATAGCGTAGGTTCTGAGTTTCGAGCCCGAGATAGTGTAGCTATGGGGAAGAAACCCTCGGATAATGAAGGATTCCAACCTTTTAGTAGTCTGGGTGAAAAATCTGACAATGTTATATATGAGCCTCTCAGTCCAATGAAAATTGATGTTGATCCGGAACACGAAATGACCAGTACGTTTTTTGAATTTCCGAAAACCCGTCCGTTTATAAACTCTAGCTATCGTCAATCAGTGAATAAACCTCCAGTTATACCTTACCCAGAAAGCAACAGAGACGGTAAGTTGGATGTTTATTAAAGATGGGTTTCCTTATTTTTAAGTGGAAAACTAAGCAAACTATTTGCTTAATATTGGTGTTTCTAATGAATTATCATGTATTCTTAATCATATCATTATGTGCTTATTGCATATAATTAAGAGTTTTAACCAATCATAAATTTCTGGATAAACAAAAAAGACTTTTTGACCTTTCTTGCTGGTTACTCATTGGAATTCTGTTGGTAATTCTCTTCTAATTTAGCTAATTATAAATTAGTTATGGACATGTGAGACAAACTGGTATTTTTCCAAGTCATTAGAACACCTCTACTATCTATTCATATAAATAAAAATACGGAAACCGATCTTTAAGTGGTTGTATTGAAACTTCTTATCTTCCTCTATTATGTGCTGTAACTATGGAAGCTGTTTAAGAGAATATGAATGTAATGTTACATTTGACTTCTATTTTAATATATTGAATAATAAAAACTACATTTACTAGATTTACTATAGATAGATCGCCATGATTTCAAATACCTATAACTTGTAGCTTATATCTTTTTTACTTATTTCAAAAGATTTCGTAATACCGGTACCGTTAGAACAGACGCCTTATCAAAAGCTAATGAATTTAGTGTTTCATCCATCTGTTTTCAAGAATAAGGTACCAGTCTCAATAGGTAATAGTTATAACTCTTAACCAATAAACACTGTACTGTACCATTTCCAGGAATTTACTCTGCCATGAAGAACCTGCAGGATAAAGTGCGAAGACTGGAACTAGAGAGAACTACAGCAGAAGATAATCTGAAAAACTTATCGAATGAAACAGCTAAATATAGTTTATGTTTACAGAAATCTCAGGAAACTGAAAATTTAGCCAATGAAATAGTCAATAAACAGACAAAAGGTAGATTTCAGTAATTAGATTTCAGTATTTTGCTCTCATGATGATAGGGGCAGGGTTGACAGTTGACTACAGGCTGGCTTTTAAATCCACTGCAGTGGCATCAGAATTTTCTTACCTTGAGGTGGATTCAAACTGGAGAAAAAAATGCAGACGGTACTGAATTATGTACCTAAAGTTGGATTTAAACCCAATGTGTTAATCGACAATCCAACTTGGACTAACTAAGTTATTTCACAGCCCTCTAAGTTAATCTGTTGTATATCTATCAGAAAACCTGCCTTCATACACTCACTAAATTCATCTGTTAGTTATTTCACAGTATTACAGAAACCCATTCTTCAATATCTATTTATATCTTTAAAATTATTTCTCTTAAGTTCATAAATTTTCTCACTTCTGATTGTAATAAGTGTCCCAGTTACCTTAGAATTTATTTAGAACATAATTATAATATATTATCATGGTCTTATCAGTCTTAATTATCCAAGTTAAGCAAAGTATTAGATAATCCTTGTAATCCTTGTAAGATATTTAGAAGTATCACAGCACATTTAGAAACAACAGTTTTTTTGGATAAAGACTTCTATTTATTATTGTATTATATCTATTTATTATATATAATGTTTTGAGCTGTATGGTTAATAATCACGTAAGA